TCCAGGTCCCAGGTGTTTCGTTCACCTAAGCTGAATTCTTCAAATCCAGCCCAATATGACGGATGTTCTAATAAACCTTGTCTTTGGCTGAAAAAAAAACTTTTGTCTAAACACCCTCTGGTTTAATATTAAGGGGTGCAAAAAACAAGGAGATATATACTCACCAAAAGTGTTTGCTTCCATCATAGAGGGCAGCTAGGTAGCACATTCAATAGAGTGCTGGGCCTGGAGTTAGGAAGAGTCATCTTTCTGAGTTCAAATCTGGCCTCAGACAAATACTACCCGTGTGACCCTGTAAAGTCACTTAATCCTGCTTGCCTCAGTTTCCTCATCTGTAAAATGAGCTGGAGAAGGAAAGGGCAAACCACCCCAGTATCTTTGCCAAGAAAACCCCAAATAGAATCATGAAGAGTTGGACAGGACTGAAATGACTGAACCACAAAAACCATCATGGAGGATATCCAGTACAAAGGACAAATGGAAGAGCAGAGAATTCTTCTGAAATCTTCCCTATATTTTTTGTGATTCCATATATAATTTTTCCCTATATAATTTTCCCTATATAATATTCCCTATATAATTACGTATATAATTTTGCGTTGGATCTTTTGAAACAGAATCTGCTTATCAGTCAGTTAATCAGTTAGTCGGTAAGCATTTACCCAGCATCTCCTGAGGTGTCAGGTATTGTGCTAAGTGCTGGAGATGCAAAGAAAGGTAAAAGGCAATCTCTGATCTCAAGAAGCGCCAAGAAAGGAGACAACATGCAAACAAATATGTACAGATAAGCTATATATGAGATCAATTAGAAATAATCAACAGAGGGAAGGCACTTGAATTAAGGGGGATTGGGAGATTCCTGTAGAAGGTTGGCTTTTAGTTGGGACTTGAAGGAAGCCAAGTGAGCCAGGAACTAGAAATGAAGTGGGAGAGAATTCCAAGTATGAGGAACAGCCAGTGAAAATGAATAGTTAGGAGACAGAGTAATTTGTTTGAGGAACAATAAGGAGGCAGATTTGGATTAAAGAGTATATGTATTTTGGGTTTGGGGATGCCAATTGAGTAAGATGTGATAAGACTGGGAAGGTAGGAGCAACAGGTTATAAAGGACTTTGAAAAGAGCATTTCACATTTGATCCTGGAGGTGATAGGGTACCACTGGAGTTTATTGAGTAGGGCAGTGACATGGTCAGCTTTTGGAACATCAATTTGATAGCTGAGTAGAGGATGGACTGACTGGAGTAGAGAAGGCCTTGTGGCAGGTAGACCAACCAGAAGACTGTTGTAATAGCCCAGGTATGACATGATAAGGGCCTGCGCAAAGGTGGTGGCAGTGTTAGAAGAGACAAGGGGGTGTATAGGAAAGATATTAAGAAGGTAAAATGGACAAGTCTTGGTGACAGATTGGATATGGGGGGTAAGAGAGAATGAAAAATCAAGAAATATACCTAAGTCTTGAGCTTGGGTGACTGGGAGGAGAGCGGTACCCTACTCAGCACTTCTTAAACTGTGGGTCCCAACTCCATGGGGTCAGGACCCACAGCTTAAGAAGCACGGAAGGGGTCACAAGGGGAAAAAGTCTAAGAAGGCCTGCAGATAGTAATAGGGAAATTTGGAAGAAGGAGGGTTTGGGGAAAAAGATAATGAGTTCAGTTTTGGACATGTTGAGTTTAACATACCTATAGGACATCTAATTGAAGTTGAAGATGGTCAGCAGAGAGGTTAGGATTGGATAAGAAAATCTGAGAATCATCAGCACTAGAGATGATAATTGAATCCATAGGAAATGATGACATTATATATGAAATAATATAGAAGGAAAAGAGAAGAGTTATTATCTGGGGATTTTATATACAAGTCTCACATGAGAAATGAGTTAGGAAAAGTACAGATGGACCATCCAATTAAACATTATCTGTAAAAGAGTTAAGATAATGCTCAAATTTTTATTTTAAAACACACTTAAAATTAAAACTAATAAGTAACTATTAGTTTATGACAAGTTTTGAAAGCCCTTAGTTTATGTAACTCTTCACTGACCTGCCTCAGTGTTCATTACTTCTTGGTTTATTTTTTTTTAAATATGCATTTGAGTTTTCATATGACAAACTAGTTTTCTACGTTATGTGGTAATTTGCTTGTCTGAGTAATTCCTGGAATTATTGTTATTCAAAATAAGATTAATGGAGAATAAGATCACATATGGTTTTAAGATGTCTTTTTGTTAGCTAAATGAAGCTCCCAAAATGATAATGAAATTCATGGAAGTGTAATAAAACTGAATTCTTTAGAAAGCCTCAAAGTGAGGTAACACTTATTTTCCTATTTATTAAAGCTAAAACATTTGTCTAAAGATTTCAGTTCCCTAATATCTATTTAGCTTCATAATAATTTAAGCAAATAGAAAAGATTGCCTATCTTTGCCACTTTATTATTGCTCTTTTTAACAATTTTAAGAATTAACATCGATAACAAATAATTAACTTTTGTACTATTACAATTATAATCTTACCAATAAAGATATAATAATAGTAATTATTAATAATAATTGCCTCAATTTATAATTTTTGCTTTAAAATTGTTCAAAATGTTCCTTGTATTTTATGCATTTCTTTCACATCACTGGTTTTTTCCTGTTTGGATAGTAATAACAAACTCTTCTGAGTGATTGTGGAATTCATCTAGGAAGTTCAGCAGTGTTCCACCCTTGGCTTGTTGCAGTCATTATCCTGTCATCCTGACAGAGGCACATCTGGAGAATTTTATCATTTTTAGAATTCCTTTTCAGCTAGAACTTTGTACCAAACATTCTGTATGATAGTAGAAATCACCTTTGGTAGGTATGTTTCTCCCTATTTTGCATCACACTTGATATTAATGAGGGAGTCATTGAACAAAATCATCTCTTGTTATATCTTTCCAGGACTCCCATATAATTTAAACATCAGCAATTGGAGTAAATATCTACCTACCTGGTATGATTTGAAGAGCATCTGAACAGCTTTCTGTGCCTAAAATATCTGTTCTAGTAACCTTACCTTAATATTGAGATTCTTATGTTATTTATTCCATCATATACTAGCTATCAAAGGCAAATATCGGGGCAGGGGGAGGGGGAGGCAGAAACAGGTACTAAACCATTACCAAAGTAGTTAAAATTAGTTTTTTTCAGATTTGTCATGCTGTCACCCAGAAGAGAATTGGGGTGGGGATAGGGAATAGACCTCACATTATAATATAACTCTCAAGTGAAAAAACTTCCTCTCCCAGTGTAGGTTGACACCTTTTCTATAACTTGGAGTCTGTTTCCTAAAGCACTGAGACTTGCCCAGTCACACAGTGAATATGAGTCAGAGAAGGGAACTGTGATAATGGAAAACATGGAATATAAGTTTTTATGAGTGGTGAGGAAGGAAGGAAAAGTTTGGAACACTTGACTCTTGTGTCTAGAGTGAAAAAGCCCGATGACCAGGGCATTGGGCTTCTGAGATCAGGTCATCTGCTCTTGCCTTCCCCTCCAAGATTAAGTTCCACCACTTTAGAGCTTCAGAGCTTTCCCACTGGGACTGAAATATTTTAATTCAACTAACAAATTCGCTTATCTTACCCAAGGGGAAATTCTACTGAAGTCTCTAGTGTAGCAAGCTGGAAATAGGGACAAGTTCAAGGTGCCAGCTTTTCCCTAAAGTCTTTTTTCTCCCTCCAAGAGCCTCTCCTTGAAGCAGATTATGAACCATGTGTGTCCTCCCTTGAAATAAGGAGCCAGAAGAATTCTTCTCTTCCAACCTCTGGACAACTGCACCCCTCATGCTAGCACAAAACTTGAGTAATCATTGTTTCCACAAATAAGGAGAGTTTATTTAAATGCCCAGACTTATACCTTGAGTTACCCAAATGCTTAAGTACCTTTTTTTTCTCCCCCAGATACTAGAAATTCTGAGTTATCTAAGGGTTCTTTTTTCCTCAAGTTTTCCAATTCCATATTATCAGTTTTACTTGCTACTCCTCAAAATGCTTAACTTAACAGCATTTTTACATATAGTACATTTACCTTTTGATGTCTGGGCATTCTTGCCCAAGCCCCTGGGCCTAGGGAAAAAGCAAACTTTATCTCTCCTCACCACTGAAAAGTTGCAATATAGTTAAAATCTGGTCAGTATGACTAATGAGCACAGCTCTCATTCAGAAAAAGAGGACATATCATGAAAGGACAATAACCAGCCAAAAATAGTTTACAGATAGACCTAATGTCTTGACTTGTGCTGGTTTTATGTATACAAAGTACCCATCTTTTAAAAAACATAAATGAATGGATAGATAGATAGATAGATAGATAGATAGATAGATAGATAGATAGATAACAACTACTGACACTACTTCCTTCTTCTTGAGCAGCCCTACTGTCTAGTTTCTAAAATCTTGAGAGTGCTAAGGGATCATCCTAATTTATCTCAGCATATGGTTGTCAGCAGTTCAGGGTTTGCACAGCTGACTCAAATGCAGTTTCCCAGCAGGGGTACCATCCGGCTCATGAGCACAGGCAAGGAAGGATTTAAACAAATCCATACTTGCCAGTGGGAGCCATGCACTAGTGAGCATCTCTAGATATAGTCCCACCATCATCAAGGTACTAAAAGTACAGACTTGCAATAGCTTGGTAGTAGCCTCACACAGTGCTGCTAGACCTAGGTGGCCATTGTTATTATTTCAAAACAGGATCCTGGGATTTAAAATGGAAAGGGAATTTGAATATATTATCCGTTTATCTCATTTGACTGAGTTCTAGAAATGAGAAGTTGTTTGCCCAAAGTCACAAACCAGATTCAGATTCAGCATGAAAATTCAGATCATTCCTGAATACCCAAGCACTTCTCTTGCTACATCATACATAAGGCCACATCAGCGTAAGGTAAGGCCTTGTCTGACAATGATGATTACAGTTGCTGTTGCCTCCATTCCTATCCAATGATCTACCTAGTTTTTCTTTTCTATTTTACCAGGAAGGATATTTACAGGTTTCAGGCTGCTCAACTCATGCCAGAAGCCTAGCTCCCATAAACGTGTTGCAGCAAAACCCAAAAAATAGCGCCAAACTGAATAATGATCAAGAAATCTAATGAGAAGCCTCAGAAGGTGACATCATCCACCCTAGAACTGTATAAAAAGTCAACCAGAAAACCCATGAACATTAGGAAAGTGGGCCTTCCAGAAAAGACAGTGCAAGTGCAAACAAGACAGAAGCCTTCCAGCCTGACCAGAGATGGACTAGAGATACCTGTAGCTTGCATATCTCTATATTCAGAAGCAATAAGAGGCAAAGGCTCCCATGATAATGCCTAGATTGGTTGGAATTCACTGCATAGATTATGGAAGTGACTGGGAATGTGAATAGGCAGTGCTTTCACCGGGACAACCCAGGCTCAGGAACTTTGATGTTCATAACACTCTGACCAGAGATCCCACGAGAGCTTTGAAGAGCAATCCAGGGGGATCTAAAACTTAACAGTGTTATTAGTGTAGGTACACCATGGGAGGTGGATAACAGTGCAAGAATGAAGATAACCCAGAATGAGACCAAGCAGAACTGATTATCCACCCAAAAGTACAGCAGGGGGCAGATCCTGGACCCTGGAACAAAACCCCAAAGTTAGGAAGTAAGACTGGAGATATAAACAAAGACATCTATCACTATATAAAATATTATATAGATTTACAGATACCAAAAAAAAAGATCTAAGAGTATTTGTACAACTTCAAAGCAAGAGACTCAAAGGAAAAAATGGATTTTCCATAAGGACTACACAAATATCTAGAAGAAATGAAGCAAGATATTGAAAAAAAAAAAAGAAATAAAAGCTCTGAAGGGAAGAATTAAGAGAATAAATGGAACAAAAAAAATTATAAACCTTGCCCAAGTCATAGATACCCTAAAAGTCAGAACAGACCAAAGAGGTCATTGATTTCATGAGATAATGAGTATTAGAACAAAATCAAAAGATTGATAGAAAAAAAAAGAAAATGTAGTGTCTACTATGAAAAATAACTGACCTGGAAAACAATTTAAAGAGAAAATTTACAAATCATCAGACTCCCTCAAAACCATGATTAAAAAAAAAAAGCCTGGACATCATATTTTTACAAAATTATAAGAAAAAACTATCCAGACCTATTAGCAATAGGAGGTAAAATAGAAATAATCTACTTTTCCCCTCCTTAAAGAAACCAAAAAACATTAAGACCAAGGAATGTCATATCCAAAATCCTGAATTTTCAAGTTGAATAAAAAATATTGTAAGCCAGTGCTTTAGTACAGCATAAATAGTAGGAGCATAATAAAGGTTTATTGATTAGCCAGAAAGAAAACATTAAGTACTAAACCATAATTGGGTCTCACACAACACTTGGCAGCTTCTATTATAAATCAAAGTAGATCTTAGAATGTAATATTTCAAAAGGCAAAAGATAAAGGCTTATAACTAAAAATAATTTACCCTTCAAGACTGAATGTAATTTTGCAGGAGAATCTTTAATGTAATAGAAGACTTTCATGAATTCCTGATGAGGACCTAAAAAAAAACAACTTTGAAAGGGCAGGCACAAAAGTCAAAAGTAACCTAGAAAGGTAAATTTATCTGAGTATTTGCAAGGAACTGTATTATTGAACAGCAAGACAAAATTATTTTTGAACAAATTATGGTATGTGTTATCATAGCATATTGTACTGTAAGAAATAACAAGAGAGAATTTCATAGACTCCTGAGAAGTCATATGAACTAATACAGAGTGAAATGAGCAGAGCTGAATAATTTATATAATAAAAACAACATTGTAAAACAAAAGCAATTTCTAATGACTTAAATAAATACTCTGATCAATGCGATGACTAACAGTGGGTCCAGAGCAGCTATGATGAAGCTTTTTATCCACCTCCTGGTGATGGATTCAGTGTGCAGAGAGACATACATTTTTGGATACAGCCACTGTGGGGATTTGTTTTGTTTGTGCTTATTTGTTACAAGGGCTTTTTAAAGATAATTTCTTTTTGGATGGATAAGGTTTTTAGGTAGAAGGGACTAGGATTTATGGTGCTAAAAAATAAAGACCAAAAAAAAAGAGGTTATAAATTAGGTTTTATATATATATATATATATATATATATCTAAATTTTATAACCTTGGAACATTTTTGTTATTGTTCTTAATGTACAGAAGAAAACAAAAGGAAGTTCAGAAGGAAGCATGGACAAGCAGCACAGCTTTGAAAATAGTGGGTAGAGGGGCAGCTAGATGGCGTGGTAGATAGAGCACTGGCTCTGGAGTCAGGAGGACCTGAGTTCAAATCTGGATTCAGACGCGTGATGCTTGCTAGCTGTGTGACCCTGGGCAAGTCACTTAACCCCAATTGCTTTACAAAAAAACAACAACAAGCAAACAAATAATAAAAAAAAGAAAAGAAAATAGTGGGTGGGATTTATATATTTTTTTAAAGCAAGCTATTTAGAATACAGATTCACAGTTTCACATTTAATCCCCTTTTCCCCTTTATTGTGCATAGGGAAATGTTCATTTTTGAGTGTATGTTAAGTTTAGAAAAAGAAAGATTTTTACACAGCAGAGGTATCTATGTGACTGTAGCTAGCTATGGATTATAAGGAGGACAATACGCACAAATCCAAACTGTCGACGTCTTCCAAAGTAAGATAACCCTACGATTGCCACTTTTGGTTCTCTTGATTCTAAAGCTGTGTAGATTCATGGTAGCAAACGGGAAAAGCAATTTCTTAGGCACTCCAATTCTGCTATACAGGTACTGGTCTGTAAGGAGGCCTGGCAAATGTTTGAGGTGAGTCCTGTCTCCTTTGTGTGGCTCTGCTGGCTGGTATAAATGTACACCAGTGCAATTCTTATTTTTTCTCTTTTAAATGTTTTCTCACCTCCTTGGAAAATCTTACAGAGGGTTTTGTGGTAGGTGACATTTTCAAAGGCATATCGTGACTTACAAAAACAGCTGAGGAGAGGGTGATTTAATTGGTCTAGAGGAAGCATACTCTGATATAGCTCCTTTGTCTCCTTTTAATAAATTCATTTGGGACTAATCATTTTTAAATCGGGTTTTGCAGTTAAGGAAACAACAGAGAGAACAGATTGTCTGAATGATACTTGAGTGGGGAGTTCTGGCCAGTGAGTTCTGTCAGTTGCATGATTCTATTCCCCTATAGCCCAGCAGCTATTAACTGGGCTTAATTAGTGAGCTGCCACATGCAACAAACACTTTGTAATGTGCAATGTGTGAAATTTTTTAACAGCTTGGGAGGGACAGAGGAATATAACCTATAACAGAAGTCTTGGAATTGAAGTGTGTAAAGGGAGAACTAAGAAATTGCAGTTTGTCACTGTGGCCACCAGGGGGTAATGGAAGCTCATAAATCAACACCATCCCTCAAAGGCAAAGAATCACATTTATTTATTTATTCAAGACTGGGTCTTGACAAGTGAATTACCAAGGGCAGGGAAAATCCTGACTGAGGACAACAGTCATCACGGTAGGCCGAGGAGACAGGTTAGAGGAGAAATTAGGAAGGGAGGATGAAATAATCACCTTGGTAGGACTTCATCAAAGGAGATAATACTTGTAAAGTGCTTAGCACAGTGCCTGTCGTGTAAAATGCTCATTTCCTTCTGGTCCCCCTTCCACTTCATCACAGAGATATGTTCTTCTTAAGATGTCTTTACCTGAATCTACTTCTCTTTTTCCCATTTTCAGTTTGTAACAATAGAGGGGAAAGTTCAACTGCAAGGAAATGACAGAACAAAGGAAAAAGAAGGTTTATTTATCTTTACCTGTCTACACATGTCAGCACACAGTTCAAATAGCATTAAGCAATCTTTCCCAACCACTTGGATCAGATTTTGGCTGGTATGGGTGGACCTTATGTTCTACCTGTCATGAGGCCCTGTGAAGCTTAACATAAACAAAGGTGACTCCCAGTTAACAGTTTCTATGACAGCTAGCATATGAGGACAGAAGTAGGACAAAGGAGTAGAAGCTGCAAAGAAGTAAATTTCAACTTGATTTCTGTAAGAACTTCTTGGAGTTCTCTAAAATTAGAACGAGCTTCTTATGGGATCCTCCTTGGAGGTTCTCAGGTAGATACCAGATGAGTACTTGTTGGGTATGTTGCAGTGGGCATTCTTTCTTGGTTATGAGTTGAATGAGATGGTGACTGAGATCCCGTCCAACTCTGAGATTCTGTGATCTGCAGAGCTGGAGGTTCCAAGTCAGAAGAACAACAAAGGCTCTGGTATGCTCCATATATGCCTCAGGACATGTAGAAAAATGTGAGCTATGTGGTGCTTCCCCAAGGACAGAGACTGACAAACAAAATGATTGTAAAAGATGTATCCACACTGATATACATTTGTAAGGGGAGGTTGATTGGAGAACTCATCAAATTGATCAGGGAATTCCCTATTCAACCACCACTACACAGTAAAATTGCATTTCTCTCCCCCGGCTTTTAAACAATACTAATAGAACAGATCTGGTTTCTTTTATAGGTAATTTAGAGAATGTCTACCCTAATTCAGAAAGGATGTACAGAGTGCCAAAAAAGAAAATTTGGAAATTATTTCCAAATTGATTAATACCTATGAATATGGAAGAAACTCAAGATGCAATTGCATTTTTTTGCCTATGTAACCAAGGAAGGTAATATGTCTAAGACAAAATATTGAAAGGAAAAGGAAATTTGATGCTAATTAATGACAAATAGTAGCATTTGGTTTGAGAACCCCTCTCCCAAATTGATCTTTAGATTCTTCCTTGGATTTGCATAACTATTTGCAGAGATACTCAAATAAAGAAACTTTAGTTTCTCTTACCTATGTGTAAGACGTAACCTTATGCATAACATATTTTATATGTTGAGGGGAACATAGCTCCTGAAAACATATTATGGTACTGGACACTGAGAAGAACAATAGGGTCATATGTGCATAGATTTAGAGCTGGAAAAAATCATGGAGGCCATGTAACCCAACTTTCATTTTACAGATGAAGAAAGTGAGGTTCAGACATGTCAAATGACTTGTCCAAGGTCACTTTTGGTGGTGTAGTGTCAGAGCCAGGCTTCCAACCCAGCTCCTCTAGCTTTGTTTTCACTTTACTTACCATGTTCCTTCCTGGCCCAGTCTGAGGGTTTTGTTTTGTTTTGTTTTAAGTTTCTCTCTCCAAAGACTAAAGTAAACCAAAGACTCATTTGGCACTAATAAGTATCAGCTTGGATAAGCATTTGATCTGGCAGAAAGCAGATCCTATATTGAATATATCACTATTTGCATGTGTAGGTCCACATTTACATATCCAGTTGCCTACAAGATAGCTCCACTTGCTTGTTCTACCAGCCCCTCAAACTCAACATGTACAAAACAAACCTAATCATTTCTGCCCTCGACCCCCTCACATTACAAACTTTGGTGAAACACTGGACTCATTTCTCACATTCACATATCTAACATTTTCCATGCCTTATTAATTCTACAAGCACAAAATTTCTTTAATCTATCCCCATGTTTCTGTTCTCACTGTCATCACTCAAGTTCAGGCTTTTGTTACTACTTATGCAAATCATTACAATTACATCTGCTTGCTGCCATTTTCTTCTGTCTCCAACCCATTTTCCAATTTAGCACCAGAGTACTCTTTCTTTTTCAAAGATTGGATCATGTTTTTCTTCCAACCCCAACTCTTCAAGGGTTCACTGTTGATAATCAAGTAAAATTCAAGGTCCATAGCCTAGCATTCAAAGTTCTCCACAATTGGGTATCATACCAACTTTCCGAGATTATCTTATGCTATTCCCCTCAAAATAATTTGTGCTTCAACCAAACTGATCTGTTTCTTGTCTTCCATATATGATCCAGCCTTTCTCATATTGGCATCTTTCTTCATGATGTTTCCTATTCCTGGAGTGACACAACCTATTCTCTGCCTGTCTATTTCCTACCCATACTTTAAAGTCAAACGCAAATGCTGTCTCTTCTAGAAAACTTTCCTCAGTTTCCCCAGTCAATCATGACCTTGTCCCTCTTGGATCTCATAGAGCACTTTGCTTGTCTATCTTTTAGGTACTTATCACATGTTATTTTATATTATACAAGTAATACTCTACTAGAGTGTAAGTTCCATGAAGGTAGGATCCATACATTATTTGTATCTCTCCTGGTACATTGTGTGTTTTGTAGACATTTGGTACTTAAATAAATATTTATTGAATTGAATTGAACACAGGTAGAGAAGTACAGTGACCTAGGAAAGAATTTTGGCTGTGTTGGAAGTAATGAGTCCTAATCCTATTTCTGGCTTACAGTCTTCCCCTCTTCCTCTTCATAATAATAATTGGCATTTATATAGCACTTGAAGGTTTACAAAGTGCATTTCTCATAGGCATATAAGGAAAGTAATATGACTATTACAGTATTATCTCCATTTTATAGAGGTGTAAGCAGAGGTTCAGAAAAGTTAAGTGATTTGCATGTGGTCACAGTTGTCAATTCGCAGAGCTAGGATTCACACCCAGGTCTCTTCTCCATGCCATTGGCCTTAGAGACTTCATTGTCTACATCTATCACTTTTTAAACACTTTTGTCCCTCAGCTCCTTAACCATTTCATCTCCTAACTTCTGTGTTCACTCTCTGCCACTCACTTTAGACTTTATGATCTGAAATCAATTTGGAATTATTTCAAGATCCCAAGTTCTGAAATTATCTTTTCTGACCTTAAGGGCTCCTTCTATGCCCTCTTTTCTTAACTGTCAGGATCTCTGGTTTCTTGATTCTTTCCTGTTTTCCAAATAATCACTTTTGCTCTGGTTTCACAATCTTACCCCTATTGTCGGCTATTTCGTGATGCATTCTCCTTCATCTAAATCAGTTATGTTCATAGTAGCAACTGGAATGAGGTTTCCTTAGGATCAAGGAGTTTAAAAATGAAGAGATCAGATTAGTTTCTCCTACTTATTTCTGTTCTTTCATATGGTGGCAAATGCCTCTCCAAATTTAAAGATGCTCCCTCCTTTTTAGAAGGTAGTGATTTGTGGGGAGCCCAGTGTGATCTGCTACCCAGATTTCTAGATCTACACTTTGGGAATCCTTGAGGACAGTAATTGGTTGAGGGGCATAGAAGTATGAAAATAGAATCTTTTCTGATTTACACAAGGTTAAGTAATAAGCAACATATGCAGGGTCTTGTTTATGATATTAGGTGCTGAGCCCAGATGGAAATTTATCTATGAAATTATTATTAGGAAATGATGGGGAGATTTATCAGCTGGTTTTAGGACTGAAAACAAAAAAGCAAGAGAAAATTAACTATTATAGAATACTTAACAAGTAATAAGGGTATGAATCTTCCCAAAGCATTCTGTTTCTTAAATTATCGAACAAATGCCAAAAGAATGTCTCTGGGTTATTCTTCCAAGGGAGGAATCCAAAGATTTATAGTGGCACTCTTGGATTTCTCCCTTCCTGCTATGCCAGTCACCAACTCTGGATCCCCCCACCATTGCTCCTATTCCAAAATTGCAAATGCTGCTGGAGGGAGTACATGTGCTTGGATATATGATATTGCAAGCAATCTTGATTTATTTGCACTCCTCAGAGGTAGACAAAGAATGATGTTGTCACTCCATTTCCCTGATCCAGGCTGGTATAATGGAAAGATACTGATTCTGGTGTCAGAGGACCTAGATGCAGATCTGGTCTCTGAACCTTTATGTGTAAATCTTGGAGAATTTACTTACTTCCCTCATCCTCAGTTTCCTCTTCTGTAAAATGAAGAACTGGACTAGATGGCCTCCGCAGTCCCTTCGAGCTCTAGATCTATAACCTGATGTTGAGGTGTGTTGGAGGGTGGGGTGTACTGGAGAATGAAGTCCATGTCTCCATCCCTCGTTCTCCCTAGGCTGTACCATGCAAGGATAATTGCCTTTTCCTTCCCACACTGTAATTATGCTTCTGTAGGAGAAGGCAGGGACATAGCTTATACTTTTTAAAAAGTCCCCAACAGTGTGAAGCATATAGGGAGTATTCAATAAATATAAGGATTCAAGAAAGAAAGTACTGTGCTTCTTTGTTGGTAATTCCCTTAAATCTTACTCTTTCAAGTCTTGCCAACTGGAAACCTTACTGAATTGGTTGTCATATGACCTCATGTCCTAGTCCTACCTATCCAGGCAAATTACTTAAATTTTGGGGTCTCAGTTTCCTCTTCTATACAATAAAGTTGATCTAGACTACGAGACTTCTAATGTACCTTCCAATTCTATGATTTTTCAAACTTATAAAATAACCATTTTAATTAAACCAAACAACTGGTTTGATTGTTTTAAAAACTAGATTTAGCCACACTCATTTGTCTTGGTATTATATGAAATAGCTTTAAACAAAGACAATTCAGTTCAAATGAAGCTTTTAGTGGTCTAGGCAGACATTGTCCATCAGCCAATTAATTTCTCTGGTCTTGGCTTCTATTGACACAACTGAGAGGGATCAAAAACAAGGATGGATTACAGAGAGAAGGGCAAATGTTTTCTGGAGAGTATTTAGGATAGTATCTTTTACTACATTTTTGTTGTTCAGTCATTTTTCAGTTGTGTCTGACTCTTCGTGGCCCTATTTGAGATTTTCTTGACAAAGATACTGGAGTGGTTTGCCATTTCCTTCTCCAGCTCATTTGACAGATGAGGAAACTGAGGCAAACAGGGTTAAGTGACTTGCCCAGGGTCACACAA